TCATTGAATCACAATACCAATAAGTGATTAATAAAAGTCAAAAGACCAAAGAGGTCACCTTAATACCAAAAAAAAAATATATATTATTTAAAATATTAATATAGAATTATTTAATAAAATATTGATTATCATAAGATTTTTAATAATTTTATTTAAAAATTTAAAATTATTAAGTTGTATTAATTATTTTTTTTAAAAATATTAAGATAAGTACTTGTAACTTAGAATTTTATTAATAGTATATTTAGCTAATAGTTACATTATATATACAAAAGACAATTATATAAAGAGTATACAACTAATTACTTATATAACTTTAATTATTGTTTAATTTAAATAGTTTGTCTAAAGGTTTTATACTAGTTATTATACCTAAAACCTACTTATAAGTTTCTTATTTAAACATTTTAGTTTCTATTTCTATTTACTAACTTATACTTATTAATAATCTTAGTTGATATTAATAAAAATATAACATAATCATTAAGTATTTAAAGCAGTTTACTTATATGAAAAACCTTTAATCTTGTATTAAATCTTCTAGAATCTTTTATTATAACTAACTTAGTAATATTATAGCCAAAACTAATATTTGTAATTAAGTATACTATTAAACTGTTATGTTTTTTTTAAAGTTTATCTCAATTCTAATACTTATTTTACAACATATCTCTAGTACTTTGGTATTTAATTCAAGTTTTATTAAACTTTTAGTTTAGATAGTTCAAAAAAATAAATACAATCATATCTTTGGTTTAATATATAACCTTATTCTTTTTTATTCTTTTTAGAGTTTCAATAGTTTGGCTGATTATAATAGTTATTTTTTAAAAACTAACATATTATTCAACTTCACAAGTTTTAACTTTGTTTCTATAGATCTAGTCTTCACAATAATATTATTAAAAGTTCAGACTATCTTTATATTTAGATCTTTCAAGTAGGCTTTCATCTTTCTAATTCTTATAATTTACATAATTATAAAAGCTTATTATAAGTTTATATTACTTAGTACTGGTTTGTGTTTCTTTATATAAAATACAAACATTGTATAAATGCTATATAATCTTTTAGTTATATTGGTATAACATGAATAACAGTTATCTAATTCCAACCAATAGCAAAAAACAATTAATTCTAATACAAAAAAATTTTAAAATTTTCATTAATACCAAAATTTGAACTCTAAACCTGCCATTTAGAAGTTAACAATATGACCATTTCACTATGTTGTTATGTTTTTTATTAATTCTATTTTATATTTTAATTAATCAGATTCTATATAAAAAATATATTAAAAATATATATTATTATTTTATATTTATTAATTTTTAAAAAATATCAAATTTTTACAAATTTTATCAAATCTTACTAAATTTTATTAAATTTTAATAAATTTTACCAAATTATACTAAATTTTACAATTTTAGATTTTTTATTAAAAAATCTTTTTTGAAACATCATTTAGGCCTAAAAATTAAAATACTTAAAACCTAGCCCCAAAGATCACCTAGGTCTAAGAGCTAGAAAACTATAAATTAATTATTACATTATTTTTTAAACTAATATTGAATTTATAAATAAAATAACTACAGAATCTGAAATTTAAAAAACTGCAAAATCTAAGATTTAACCTAACCCGGAGCATCGCCCGGGCCTAAAAGCTAGTTATTACTACTAAAATTACTTTGTCCACTCATGGACTACAATGATGTTTGATTTAAAATGAGCGATAATTAAAAGGCATTAAGTACCAAGTGAGTAAAATGCTCCTAATGAACCTTTTATTAATTGCTAATATATTTTTAATCAACTTAATATTTATACCTCTAATTATAGATATAATAAATAATAACAAATTTGTTACTAACAGAAATAGATCATTCACCTATCTAGTATATTTTTTTAAAACTTGATAATTTAAATATAGATGCATAAATGTTTATCGAAATTTTTTATATGCACTAACATGATACAATATATTACACTTATTACTACTCTCTCGAGCGCCTAGTTAGACTTTTAATCAATCTTATGCTATCTACAATCTTAGCAAAGCAAGAAAATAATAATGAAAATTTATACAAAGGAAAATTTTAAGATAGTCGTAACTTTTTCTAAAAATCTAGAGTAGCGGGATCGAACATTATGTTTTCTGTGTAATAGTGACAGATTCTAGAGGTTACATATTCAACCGTTTTGACACGGATAACCCGCTTTACTATAACCCAATTCTAAAGCCTAATATAACTATCTAATAGCTATCCTCATCGGTGTAAAAATTTTAGCATCTTTTATGCGTTCGTTCCCCTTTTTTAACACCTCATAAAATGTATTTGTATTTTTTCTAGTTTTAGCTTTCTACGATAAGATAATTTTTATCGCCTTAATAATTTTAGAAAAACCTTCTACAGTCCTTGGTATCTCAATGTCTTGCAACCTCGAGGCCAATTCACCGTAGCTCATTTTAATATCCTTTTCATCCAAAAACGCATTTCTCAATAGAGGAGTCCAAATATAGGCGTTAAATTCATATTCAGACATATGTTGGTTCAATGTGTTATTTTTGTATAAAAAATAAAAATGCCACAAAAGGTTATGAACATATAACATATCGTTTGATACGGGGGAGCAACTGAATGAATTTTTAACCAAACATTCCCCTAAAGATTCTACATCAGTTACATTGTTGAAATTATCTAAATATTGTGACACTTCTTTCTCACAATTAACGTAAAGCTTGTCAATCGTTTTTCCACTAGAAAAGTCAACGAACGTTAGTTCGGGGTCTTGCATTTGTTCTGCAATGTTTTTTTTGAAGCCATCAGGTAAGCATTTGGTACATTTAATATCGTAAAGGTTCATGACGCCAATGGAAAGTGAACATTTTTTAATTTCGTTTGTTGAATAAACAACATCCAGTACATTTACGCCATCGTAGACTAACTTTTCACCAGGCAAGACACACGTTTGATATGCATCAAGAACGTCTTTTGCGAGATCATGAGTAATGTATTGTTTTTGTTTTCTTTTTTTAACATCTACCTCCTTTGTTAATGTCAAAGAGGTATCTAATTTAGTTGCATCTGGGTCCTTATTTTCTAATTCGGCTGTATGGTCTAGATCCTCAGGTTCTAACTCGACATTTTCACTCAGAATAAACCCTAATTCCGCTGCATCGTCAAGATTCTTAGGTTCCAACTCCAGGTTATTGGGTTCCAATTCCACTGCCTTTCCCAGATATGTGACAGATTCGGTTTCAACTATATTGTCTTGACTTTTTACAGAGTTTTCAAAAATTTCACGAAAGACATGTGTAAGAGAAATGGGTGCTATCTCTGAGTCAGCATCATCCTCAGAACAATTCGGTGAATAGTATCTTGGTCTTTTTGGTTGGGGACGAGTTTCAAGTTCATTTGCCTTTCGTCTTTATATATTATTTCATAACTTTCATTTATATGCTCTTCTAACCTGATGTGAAATTCTTCTATCTAGATCATTTCAAAATAATGAATTAATAATAATTCTATTGAACATATGAGCAATGTAGATGGCTTGCCTCATTTTCTTGTTCAG